TCCAAGCTGCTGATGTACCGCTTTTCTCTCAGTTGGTCCAGGATGTAGTTTATTCGGGGCATTGGTAAGGCATCCTTTACAGACTAGCATTGATCTGTCTGAAGTCAACGCATAATCTCCAATTGCCTGTCTTCTTTTTCACTGTCACGATAGGGGCGCTGTATGGGCTCTTTGAGTGTTCTATGAACCCCATCTGGAGAAGCTCATCAACCTTTTCATTGATCTCCTCTTGGATTTTTGAATTCTTCGGGTAGTATCTCTGCTTGATTGGTTTATCATCCATCATTGTGATCTGAAGCTCAGCCATGTTCAACGTTCCCGTCATGGTGTTGAAGTCCACTGGCTCTGTTTCCAGGAACTTCGTGGTATCGCTCTTCTCGCGTGTCCGTTGAATGACTGTCACCAATAGTTTCTCCTCGAACCATCCATTATGTCATTTCCTGGCTGGTATTATTCTCATGTTAAGCACACTTTATTTCGGTCCCGAATTTTGTAAAGAAGTTTCATACCAACACCAACGAATACTCCTGGTAAAATAAACAGACTCATGGTCAGTCGTTTGTTGCCGAATTTGACCTCCAACTCGAGCTGTGCACCTTTTTTGCTGCATCTTCCGTCCGCCAACCTAACTTGCCGTCTCATCCTTGTAACTTTTCCAAGAGCAGCAAGATTGTCCACCAATTCCTCGCTAACGAAGCTCGCTGTTGCCCGGTGTCTATTGTGGCTTTGTAAGTGTTCCCACCAATCATCACCGCTGCGGACAACTGCTGCTCTTCTTCGATTAACTTGCCAGTTAGTTTGGAGAGGTAGCACCGTGCGACCACTGCTCGCCTCTCTGCGTCTGAGATCGCTGACCATTTCCTGCTCGTTGGCAGCGCTCAACGCTTCTGAGACCCACCTTTCCACATACCCAGCAGAATAGCAGACGATTGCGACAAACTCAGTGTCCAGTGTCCGCTTCCTCCACATTTTCGGCAGGCCTCCTGAGGGTCACAGAGAGATCGAGTGTGCAAGCTTAGGGAAGCGTCACCTTTCACACTCTGGGGTGAACAGGTACCTCGCTCTACAGGATAACGCCTTTTAAAACGACGACCACCTGTCCATTGCAGCCAAGGCTAACGCCATGAATTTGCCTAGCAGTTTACGCTTCTGCGCAACTCGATGAGTTCTCTGGAGCTGTCGTGATCTGGCTGCTGATGATGTTTACTGATGTCAATGTAACCTGCTCTGCTCCTTATCGTGCTCGCTGCGAGGCTGGTTGTACCGCGATCCCTGGCTCTTGAGGTCTTAAACAATCACTGTTCCGGGACTTGGCTTAACCGCTGGGATTCTCCAGGACAACGCCTCTTGAATGCCTCATCCGGTCGACTGCTCGCCCTTCCCGGCTGGTAGTGCGGTTCTCTGACACTCGAGATTTTGGTCAGTTGCTGCTCTGGGACTTTGCCGGTAACCGCTGGGCTCTCCAGGACAAAGTCTCTTGAAACCACAAATCGATCGACCGCTCGTCCTTCACGCCAGGATCTGCTCAATTGGGTTTAGACAACTTTCCCCCCACGTCGCAGGACTCTATTGCTAAACTCTGACGGACCCGCCGGACGATGTGCCGGGTGTTGTCGTGACAAAAGTTGACTTGCTGCTGGGTGACTAGTTCTTTGACGTTGATAGCGACTAATCTTGATGGTTTGACTCCTGTTGATCGACTGATCCAGCTCCGTGGATCCTGTTTGACCCCTTTGTCGTCTGCCCGCTGCTTCAAACTGGAGTCCTACGTCTTGGCGCCATTCTGACGATTCTCCTGTGGCATGTGGCACGCAGGCGCACCGTCCCGCTGGTGAAATGTGGCACATTTTCTTTTGAAAAAAGAGTCTACATGCCAAGACCCAACATTTTACCATTCTACATTCTCGACTCGGATAGTGATTCTGATCAAAAATATATATGCTTTATGGGGTCGGAAAAGCTTCATTCTACCTGTACATACTTTCCGACTAATCTAGTATACCGTTTTACTCTACACTGAGAAAACAAGAGAACGAAAAAACCAACAGCAACTCTACTTTTTTCCGGTACTAGTTTTTCTCACTTTTTCTAGTAAAAGTGTTCTTGAAATCAAGCGTAGTGCGCTTGACTTGTGTTTCTGAGAACACACCGTTCTCGATCTCGTAAAATGAGAAGCAGCAATCTCGAAACCAACCCCAAGTTCTTCTTGGTTGAAAAAGAATAAGAGAGATGAAAAATGAAAGAGACATTCTCTCTGAGATTTTTCGGGAAGCTTCGAAGTATACCTCGGACTTCGTAAATTATTCGTTTTTGGGATAAATGCAGAAGTGCAACAAGGGACCAAAAGGAAATGGAAATATGCAAGCAGTAAAGCGAGATTGAAATGCGCCACCTACCGGCGGTAGACAGTTTTAAGCCTTATGGGCGTTAGAAAGGGCGTGGCGTTTTTTTTTTGGATCAATCGATAGGTATTGACGAGACCAAAACATTTCACTTAAAAATAGTTATCTAGCTTGAAAATTGTGGGCGTCACAGGCTTGGGCGGTTTGTGGGCGTTAGAGTGGGCGTGGCTTATTCGCGTAACAAATTTGCGCTGCGTACAAGGCTACGGAATCCAAATCTGAAATCCTAATTTTCTAGATTTGATAGTTTCCAAGATATCAGCGTTCATATATACGATTTTTTGAAGTTTGTGGGCGTTAAAGTGGGCGTGGCAAACTTTTTTTTGGGTCAATCGATAGGTATTGATGAGAACAATACATTTCAGTTTAAATTTTTATTCTAGCTTCAAACCTGTACGAACCACAGTTTTGGGCGGTTTGTGGGCGTTCGAGTGGGCGTGGCACATTGCTGAAACAAACTTGCGTTGCGTAAGAAGCTCAGGAATCTGCATGCCAAATTTTAATAGCCTAGCTCTTATAGTTTCCGAGATCTCAGCCTTCATCCGGACAGACGGACATGGCTAGATCGACTCGGCTAGTGATCCTGATCAAGAATATATATACTTTATGGGGTCGGAAACGCTTCCTTCTGCCTGTTACATACTTTCCGACGAATCTAGTATACCCTTTTACTCTACGAGTAACCGGTATAAAAATGGAGAACGAATAAGATGCAACGCGGCTGAAGGAGCTGAAGGAGACGACAATCTTAAACCTTTCAAACGCTGTCCTTACTAAATCGTATAAAGTCAGTAATTAATAATAATATTGAAATATTCAATATATGAAATACATGTTGTGTATATTGAATATAAAAAAATTGTGAAGTAGAAAAATACGACAAATGACGCTACAGCAATGTATGTATATGTGTTACTTTTTTCACAACACGTGGTTCTTTTTTAAGCAACTGAAGCTGTAATGCGTGCGCATGTGTGTGCATGTATACATATATATGTATGCAGCAGCATTAGTTATTGCCATTTATATAATAAAATAATTATAATATGAAATAATATTTAGGATATATTTTTCAGGTGCCAGAGTAAATAACGGAGGCCTCCGATTTATTTAATGCAAATTAAATGTTAACAAACTGTTCATTTTATAACAGTTAAGCATGAAACTTTAAAAAAAAGCACGTTATAATTTAAAAATGCAATAAAGATTATGTTTTTGGTATAAAGAATTGAAATTGAAGAATATAATAGCCATTTTAGATCCTATATAATGAAAAATTGAAAACAATATTACATTATATATAAGCTTTGACGATTCTGTAAGTTTCCACTTCATATATATTTACTTAATAATAATAAAACAGCTTTAAGAATGAAATGTATTCAGTAATAAAAATGTTGTAAAATCCCTAATACTAATTTTTAAAATAGACAAGATAAATGTGAAAAAACTTGTTTTTTAAAAAAAAATTTATTTTGGAAAATTAAGAATGATTTACTTTTGGAAACGAGAGCGCCTATGCTTGAATTCGAGAAATCTTCTTCTCGAAACCGAGAAGACTTATACTGAAAGTGAGACAACTTACGTATTTTCAAAAAAGTGTTCTCAAACCAAGAGCACTTCTTCTTGATTTCAGTAAAAACGCACTATTGAGCACGAAAATACTGAAATCAAGACTGATGAGAACGGATTCTTTTTTGGTGTACGAGTAACGGGTATAATAAAAAAATCACTACTAATATTACGGAAAGGTTAAATATTTCATTGATAAAATCGGCAATATATTTGGTTCTGGGCATTTAGGTTCCTATGCATTTCATTGCTCAAAAACCAACGGATTTTGATGTGTGTGCGATAGGGCCGACTTATATATCCTTTCGATATCCTTAATGTTATGTTTAATAAAGAAAAAGTTGAAAATAATTAGTTTTAGACAGTGCGCATATTTTATATCTGTCTGCATGCCTAAGACTTTATTTTTAACTTTGATAGTTTGCTAAACAGTACTATTTACCTTTTCTAAGCTCTGAAGTCGTTCAGTTTATAAAGTCAAGGTCCGGGGAACGCAAATAGTACTTAAAAATAAATTTCAATATCAGATAAGCTCAACTGTCATTTAATAGACTAAAACTTCTGTAATGCGAATTGCTTTATGCTAAAAATAGCGCTTAATTTTGAAAAATGTAAAATACAATCGCTTTTTCAATATGAATACCACAAAATCAGTTTTAATCTTTTGTACAACCTATATTAAAAGAGTAGACAAACAAATCTATTGCTTGGAGACCGAGCACGGTTCTTTTGCATTCAGAGATTCGAGTATAAGTTCTACGGACTAGGCTACTTTGAGGTCATTGAAATTATGAACCAAAAAGTTGAAAAATGTAAGGAAAGGAAGAAGCATTTTTGTGATGTGTGAATCATTTTTACAGCACCGCCTAAGCTTTAAAATTTGAATTTTTATTTTGGATACATTTAGTTTGTACAGAAAACTACCGGATGATGAGCTCGTACTCCCAAATAAAAAACTCTACCCTAGTGTGCAACTTAAGTTATGAAAGCTTAATTACTTATCGAATTGGGCATATCAAATCTTACTGTAGCACAAACGCTCCATTGCAGGCACAAGATAATCGTCGCAAACAATCGCCAGAACGACGAAGAGGTACATGCTGAGGAAAAAAGACACAACTGCCGCTATCCAACTTTTCTGTCGCATAAAGTTGGGGAACTCCACGATGGCCGGCAGACTGCAATTAAGTTCATCCACATCAATGCTCCTATATGCAGACGCGAAGTGTTCCCATTCTAAAACAAAAAAAATAATTACATTTTAACAAAACCAAACTTTTTAAATTACTTATTTATAAAAAAGGCGATGCTCTAGTCAACGGTTTTTAATCTAGAAAAGGGAGAACGCTGTAGTCGAGTACCTCGACTATCAGATATCCGTTACTTAGCTAAAGGGACCAAAGGGAAATGGAGATATGGAAGCAGTAAGGCGAGATTGAAATGCGCCACCTACCCGCGATCTCAATATTGTGGGCGTCACAGGCTTAGGCGGTTTGTGGGCGTTAGAGTGGGCTTGTCAAACTTTGGATCAATCGATAGGTATTAACAATACTAACACATTTCAGTTAAAATTTTTTATCTTGCATAAAAATTGTGGGCACCACGGATTTGGGAGGTAGAGTGGGCGTGGCATATTCTCGTAATAAACTTGCGCTGCGTACAAGGCTACGGAATCTAAATCTGAAATCCCAATTCTCTATCTTTTCTGAGATATCGGCGTTCATATTTACAATTTTTTTTAACAAGGAAAGCTATCAGTAAGACGCAACTCTGGTACGCGTTTTCTAAATAAATATGCATAAATACGCCAGTAGCTAATTGTAGCAATCAAAAAACAACATTTGGTCCAGCACGTTCTTTTCCGAATCGTTTCTACGACCTAGTACTTTAGAGTCTATATGAAATTAGAAACTTACATATTTTGTCTTCCATTAAAGCGAGGTGACCCCAGCAAAGCGAGATTAAAATGCGCCACCTACCGGCGGTATTCAGATTTAAGCGTTATGGGCGTTAGAGTGAGCGTTTTTTTGGATCAATCGATAGGTATTGACGAGACCAATATATTTCAGTTAAAATTTTTTATCTAGCACGTAAATTGTGGGCGTCACAGGTTTTCGCGGCTTGTGGGCGTTAAAGTGGGCGTGGCAAACTTTTTTTTAGGTCAATCGATTGGTATTGATGAGAACAATACATTTCAGTTAAAATTTTTATTCTAGCATCAAAACTGTAGGAGCCACAGTTTTGGGCGGTTTGTGGGCGTTAGAGTGGGCGTGGCACTCTGCTGAAACAAACTTGCGCTGCGCAGGAATCTCAGGAATCTGCGTGCCTAAGTATTGTAACTCTCATAGTTTCCGAGATCTCAGCGTTCATACGGACAGACGGACAGACGGACATGGCTAGATCGACTCGGCTAGTGATCCTGATCAAGAATATATATACTTTATGGAGTCGGAAACGCTTCCTTCTGCCTGTTACATACTTTCCGACGAATCTAGTATACCCTTTTACTCTACGAGTAACGGGTATACAAATTGCAAAAAAAAATTTTTTTACCAATTTTTACTTAACACGAATCTTTAAACTATTTCCGAACTTGTGTTTTTCGTTCGATTTTTATGTGTAGCCATTTGGCTACAGGAGCTTCTTCTTCGTCTATTGGTACCTTTATTACTTAGTTAAGATAACCTCCTTAACTTCTTGCTTCTTATACTTTTGTTAAAGTTAATTTCTTTTCCCATATTTCTTTTGATAAATTATTTGTCCTACATGAAATTCTTTTTCTCTTCTGTTTTCTTTATGTGTTTCTATCGTGCTTCTTTTTTATTATAAAGAATGTCAAAAGGTTTTTGGTTCGTTGTGCAATGAATACTCTTAGTATATTCTTGAGGGGCTCTTATAACAATTTCAGAATAGTTCGATTAAATTCTTCTTTTCTGCAGCGAGCTAATACTGATAGTGTCAAATGTGCCCTTTCAATATGTCCGTTTGCGGTATTGTGCCACGGGTCTGGGTAGTGTAAAGTTAAACCGCACATTTGAGGAAAATATTTATATTGGGTCGAGGTAAAGCTCGGTTAGTTATCGGTCATAAGTACTGTGGCTTGGGGAAATTGTTGAAGTAATTCCATTACCTTATTTTCGATGTTTAATTTATTTGAATTTTTTTTAACTACTAGGAAATTTGAGTACGTGTCAATACAAGTTATATAAGTTAGACTTTGCGCGAGTATACATATATCAATGTGTTCATTTTTGCCTTATTTAGTTGGCATTGGGGCTTCTCGAATTGAAATTTCAATTATGAGTCTGTTATATTTGTTCTGATTGCAAATTTTAAAAGTTGTATTACAATATATTGTTTTAGATTTGTATACAAACTTGGCCAATAACATAGAAGATTATGATTTGTATATAATCTTCGTCTAGTCCCCTATGGGCTCGATTGTGTGTTTGTTCTATAACACCAGTTTACAAAAGAATATTGATGAAATGCGCCTTTCAGGAAACCTTTGTTTTCCGGTAAGATACATCTCCCTGATTAAGAAAAGGGCACTTAAAATTTTTTCTATGGTACCAATTTTTTTTTAAGTGTAAAAAACGTTTTTCGCACTTTTTTATTTTCTAACTCGAGTTGTGATAAACCGAATTCGGTCATCAAAGACTCATTTTACAGGTAATAGAATGCCCTTTAACTTTGTTATACACATCATTGAGTTCCATTCATTAGTTCAAAAGCTACACTTCGTCAAAGTTGAAAAATTTGGAAAAAAAATCAAAAACGCTGGCATAAATGGCTTTTTTAAAAATACACGCGTAAAACCCGAAATTAGTTTTATGTTGTTTTCTTGAAGGCTGAACCATAACGGAGAATATGCGCCATTGATCACGACAATCCGTTGGTAAATCGATTTTTAACAGATTTTTAAACGTATATACCCAAGTTCAGTATTCGGGAGCAGCGGCCGTTAAACGTTATTTTAAATTTTCAGTGTTGGGGAACGTAAGAACTTGGTGCAAGTTGTTATGCATAACGTCAGTTTCCTTGCTGTTAGCGCTGGGCAAGCTAAAAAGTATGCGATTGCAGTTACGAGGTTTTAACTTTGACGAAGTGTAGCTTTTGAACTAATGAATGGAACTCAATGATGTGTATAAGACAGTTAAAGGGCATTCTATTTCCTGTAAAATGAGTCTTTGATGACCGAATTCGGTTTATCACAACTCGAGTTAGAAAATAAAAAAGTGCGAAAACCGTTTTTTACACTTAAAAAAAAATTGGTACCATAGAAAAAATTTTAAGTGCCCTTTTCTTAATCAGGGAGATGTGTCTTACCGGAAAACAAAGGTTTCCTGAAAGGCGTATTTAATCTATTTTTTTTGTAAGCTGGTGTAATTGGTAGCTCTGACTTCAGCGTTTTTACGTCTTGTAAATTGTTAGTAAAATGATTTCTTAAGGGTACTTGAATATGATAAAAATTGTCTAATTTGCAATGAATTCCTTCCGTTATGGTAGGAGGAAGATACTCTCTTAATATAGTTACTAAATTTTCAGCTGTATCACATTCGATTATGTTTCTCGTCTTGAGTTTGACTGTTCTGATAGATCTCTATCACTGTTTGTAATATCATTTATTCGTATTCGTGATAGAGCTTGTATCGATAATGATTCTAGCCGAGCTACATTTGATCTTCCGGGCTTATATATTATTTTTGGGGTAAAAATTTCCATGAAGGATACTACCTTTTCATTTCTACATTTGCATTTTCATTCGACATTGTGAATGACACGGATTGCTCGTCCGTTTGTATTTCTATGCCAATTGCTCCCAATAAATAATTTCTGTTTAAGTCCATACTACGGCTAAAAATTCCTTTTTATTGGTGGCATAAAGTTGTTTGCTTTATGGACTAGAAATAAAAGTAATTGGTTTTTATACCTGTTACTCGTACAGTAAAAGGGAAATAAAAGTAATTGGTTTTTATACCTGTAACTCGTACAGTAAAAGGGTGTACTAGATTCGTCGGAAAGTATGTAACAGGTAGAAGGAAACGTTTTCAACCCCATAAAATATATATATTCTTGATCAGGATCACTAGCCGAGTCGATCTAGCCGTGTCTGTCTGTCCGTATGAACGCTGAGATCTCAGAAACTATAAGAGCTACTGTGTTGGGACTTGGTATGCCAATTCTTGGGCTTCCTGCTTTGTTTCAGCAGGGTGCCACACCCATTCTACCGCCCACAAACGACTATAACATTAAAACCCGTCTAGCGCCGACATTTTTAACATCTAGTACAATTTTCCACATGCCATATAAACATTATTGAAATCGAACCACTCATTAAAAAGTTATATATTATATAACTTATTTATATATATTATTTAATAATCAAAAGTTTGCAATTCAATCGAGATTGCACACCATATGCAGCAAACAAGCTGTTTTTACTAATACGCCACCAAGCCGCTAGGGGCGCTATAAGATGGTTGGTTCTGTAGGCCAAGGGGCGCTATAGAAGAAGAAGATAGCTGGCGCTATAGGCTCGGTGTGTTAGCGAAAAAAAGCAGAGTTGCTTTAAGCATATCTCCATCCCTCTCGCACTCCCTTAAGCTGAGTAACGGGTATATAATAGTCGAAGCCATCGACTATACAGGGGTGGTCAAAAGAATTTACACAAAAAAAAAGTTAAATAGACTCATAATTTGAACTTACTTCATGTACATTTTGGCATCAATCTAAAGGTCATTTAAATTCAGCATGAATGATACAAAACTTATCTTAACCCATTCAGTACTTATTGAAACTGCTGGATTTTTTGTGAAAATCTACTTTTTAAACTTTTTCCACGTCTTGAAAACTTACATTTTTGGATGATTAAAGTTTAAAGTTTTTTAAAAATCATTTTGCTTATACTGTTTATGATTTCTTGAATGTGACAATGTCAGAAAAAAGTAGTATGAAAAGAAGAACGAACGCTATAGTAGACTACCTCGAGTATCAAATGCCCGTTACTAAGCTAAACGGACAAAAGGGAAATGGAGATATGCAAGCAGCAAAGCGAGACTGAAATGTGCCAATGTGCCTGATCTCAGAAAAGGCTGCCGAATCTAAATCTGAAATCCCAATTCTTTATTTTTGATAGTTTCCAAAATATCCTCGTTCATATTTTCGATTTTTTGAAGTTTGTGGGCGTTAAGTGCGCGTGGCAAACTTTTTTTTGGGTCAATCAATAGGTGTTGATAAGAACAATACATTTCAGTTAAAATTTTTATTCTAGCATCAAAACCGTAGGAGCCACAGCGTTGGGCGGTATGTGGTCGGTAGAGTGGGCGTGGCTCCCTGCTGAAACAAACTTGCGCTGCGCAAAAAGCTCAGGAATCTGCATACCAAATCCCAATAGCCTAGCTTTTATAGTTTCCGAGATCTCAGCGTTCATACGGACATACTAGATAAAAAATGTAGCTAAAATGTATTAGTCTCTTCAATACCTATCGATTGATCCAAAAAAAGTTTGCCACGCCCACTCTAACGCACATAACAAGCTTAAATCTGCCTACCCCCCTTATAACCATATATTGAGATCGCGGGTAGGTGTCGCATTTCAATCTCGCTTTGCTGCTTGCATATCTTCATTTCCCTTTGGTCCCTTTAGTTAAGTAACGGGTGTCTGATAGTAGAGGGACTCGACTTCCTTGTTCTTCCTTGTTTCATTAGTAATATCGTCTTGTATTAAGAGTTTGATTCAGCAAAAATATTTAAGATAAGTCCAATTATATATTCCACATAAATTAAAATGAGGGCAAACATCTTTTTTTGTATTATAAGCTATACTGCGGAACCTCTAGGTGATGGAACACAAGTTTGTGTGGGACGTTAACGCACGAGTACCGAATTATCATGAAAACTAGAAATTGTTCATGGAAAGTTTTGGCTGTGTTATTATTTAATTATTTTTTAACACACAATTATATACCAGATCCTTTTGTTTTTGAAGGTGAGGTCGTACATTTTATGTTCAATAAATTATACAAATGTTCAAAAATTTTAAGCAATCCAATCTTTTGCTTACCATGGTTATAGTGCTTGAAGTTGATTGAGTCCCAGCCGGAGAACATTGTTCTTATTATGAAACCTTTTCACAACTTCAAATTTAAATAAAAAAATAAATCATGTCTATATCTTCAACAAACAAAGGAGAAACGATCGTATTTTTTTGATTGATTTAGTAAAGCATCGCTTGATTTTTTTGAGCCTTTAACACAGGAACACAAAATCTACTGAGTTAAAACTCTCCAAAAATTTATATTTAAATTTAAAGAAAATTTGATGTTTTAAATTTTGAATTTTATGACATGTAACTACCTTGTTGATAATATATAAAAATATCGATATATCGGTATATTTAAGGATCATTTCTTACATCATGATTAGTAATCATGCGCGTTCATTTAATTTATATAAATATATCGATATAATCATGATGTAAAAAATGAGCCTTAAAATAGTACGCTACCTTCTCGTGATACATGATACATTGCTGCTGACGTGTATCGATAAGTGAAATATCGATATGAATTAACATACTTAATATTAAAAAACTATGAAGTAAGTAAATTCTTTATAACTGTTCAGGCCGTTTTGGTTTTTACGTCCCCACGATCGATACAGTTTCTATATAAATTAACTGTCAAAACCTTACACTTGGGACCTATCCGGCAGGCCCGAATTAATGAAAAAGAAAAAAATCCATCATAGACATCTGATTCGCAGCTTGTTAGTCAAGTATGGTTCTTTTATTGTTCTTCTTTTTATATAGTCTTCAATATAGTCTTTTATCCAGAATTGAGGAGTTAATATCAGCGTTATTACCAAGCTCCAAAAAAAAGGCTAAGGCAGGCTAACTAATTTGTAGCTCTGGGTGGTGGAATTTACAGGGCAGGGGTAATCCAAAGTATCCAAAGTATTTACACAAAAAAAAGTTAAATATACTCATAATTTGAAGTTACTTCATGTACATCTTGGCATCAATGGAAAGGTCAATTAAATTCCGTTTGAATGATAAAAGACTTTTCTTAACCCATTCAGTACTTATTGAAAATGCCGAATTTTTATGAAAATCTATATTTCAACTTTTTTCCACTTCTTGTAAACTAAAATTTTTGATGCTTAAAGTTTTCCAAACAAAACTAATAGTAACTGCAAAAAGAATTTTTCAAAAATTTTTTTATGATGTTTTGATGTGACAATGTCAGAAAAAAGGAGTATGAAAAAGAGAAAAATATGATTCGTAGGCAAATTTCAAAACATTTTCAAACAATTCCGACAATGTATACAAAAATATTATTAGGAACTCGCGATGACAAAAATTAAAAAATCTATTTAATTTAAATTTGTTTCCGCAGTGCCAGAGCAAGCATTTGTGGAAAACCAAGTCAGATAAATAGGTATAAGTATTAATAAGATCTTTAGCAACAGTTCTTGGTACTTGTGGTTTTTTCTTTGGCGCCTTATGAAAGTGCCACCAGTATGTTTCCAAAAGTACCCTTATAGGGTATATTGACAAACATTTTTAGGGTATGAAGATATAATTTTTTTCGGTATTTGTTATCGGTTTGACTTTAGTCTCAAGCTAACCGGTTGTTTTTATTTCAAAGATACCGTGTTACATACACTTTTTTAGAAAAAATTGGTATTTTTTTTTACTTTTTTATTCTTTTTGGACTTTGCGTTGTGTAGATTTTGCCGGCCTTGTGTAGGGTACATACAGGTGTGCCACCTACGCCTGATCTCAAAAAATGGTTATGTGGGCGGTAGACAGATTTAAGCGTTATGGGCGTTAGAGTGGGCGAGGCAAACTTATTTTTGGCGTGCAGATTCCTGAGCTTCTTACGCAACGCAAGTTTGTTTCAGCAGAGTGCCACGCCCACTCTAACGCCCACCAACCGCCCAAAACTGTGACTCCTACAGTTTTTATGCTAGAATAAAAATTTTAACTGAAATGTATTGTTCTCATCAATACCTATCGATTGCCACGCCCCTTTAACGCCCACAAACCGCCCAAGCCTGTGACGCCCACAATTTTGATGCTAGATAAAAATTTTTAGCTGAAATTTATTGGTCTCGTCAATACCTATCGATTGATAAAAAAAAAAATTTGCCACGCCCACTCTAACGCCCCTAACGCTTAAATGTGTCTACCGCCGGTAGGTGGCGCATTTTAATCTCGCCTTGCTGCTTGCATATCTCCATTTCCCTTTGGTCCCTATAGCTGAGGAACGAGTATCCGATGGTCGAGGTACTCGACTATAGCGTTCTTGCTTGTCATACCCGTTACTCGTAGAGTAAAAGGGTATACTAGATTCGTCGGAAATTATGTAACAGGCAGAAGGAAGCGTTTCCGACCCCATAAAGTATATATATTCTTGATCAGGATCACTAGCCGAGTCGATCTAGCCATGTCCGTCTGTCCGTCTGTCTGTCCGGATGAACGCTGAGATCTCGGAAACTATGGGAGCTAGGCTATTGAGATTTGGCGTGCAGATTCCTGAGCTTCTTACGCAGCTCAAGTTTGTTTCAGTAGAGTGCCACGCCCACTCTAACGCCCAGAAACCGCCCAAAACTGTGGCTCCTACAGTTTTGATGCTAGAATAAAATGTAATGTTCTCATCAATACCTATCGATTGACCCAAAAAAAGTTTGCCACGCCCACCCTAACGCCCATAAACCGCCCACAAACTTCAAAAAATCGTAAATATGAACGTGGATATCTCGGAAACTATTAAAGATAGAGAATTGAGATTTCAGATTTAGATTTTGCAGCGCAAGTTTGTTACGCGAATATGCCACGCCCACTCTAACGCCCACAAACCGCAAAAACCTGTGACGCCCACAATTTTTATGCAAGATAAAAAATTTTAACCGAAATGTATTGGTCTCGTCAATACCTATCGATTGGTCCAAAATATGCCACGCCCACTCTAACGCCCATAACGCTTAAATCTGTATACCGCCGGTAGGTGGCGCATTTTAATCTCGCACTTGCATATCTCTATTTAGCTGAGTAACGGGTATCTGATAGTCGAGGTACTCGACTATAGCGTTCTTCCTTGTTTTTCTTTATTGTTTTTTCCGATTATTCCTATGAGAGCTATAAGATATAGTTGTCCGATCCGGCTAAGTCCGACTTATATACTACCTGCAAAAGAAAGAAGATTTTTGGGAAAGTTTCAGCCCGATAGCTTTAAAACTGGGAGACTAGTTTACGTAGAAACTAACGGATAGACGGACATGGCTAGATCGACTTGTCCAGTGATGCTGATCAAGAATATTTATACTTTATGGGGTCGGAAAGTCTCCTTCACTGCATTGCATTACTTTTGGAAAACTAATGTTAATAGACAAATATTTCATTACAATTGAAAAGTGTAATGCTAATGAGTATTTTCCATTAGAAATTATAATGGTTATGAAAAATTCTATAATTAAATAGAAAATTAATTAAACGTAGCTTGGGGGTCAATTAAATCAGAAGCTATGACCAATTTAATCCAATCCAATTTAAATTAAATTGCTACCGCATGGCACCTTGGCCATCTTAAGAATTCGCAATTTTTTCGTTATCCACCACTAAAGTGCCCCATAAGACATTGGATCGGCATTTAAAATTACATAAGCCCGTGTAGCAGTCTCTTCTGAAGAAATCGCGGTTTTTCGATATTCAACTCTGTTGAACTAATAAGCTTTTTTATTAGTTTTTGCTAAATTAAAATGCGAATTTCAGGTTGCTTTAGGCTTGTTAACAATTTATTAGCGAGAGAGAGTACAGCAGGCGAGACGAGAATGCGTTTTATGTCGAGATCAGAATTCGTACTGATTTTACAAACGGACAGCCAGCCGAAAGCTGGGCCGAAAAATGCAAGTACACAAAAGACGAGAGAGTTAGATAAAGAGAGCTACCTTCGCGATGCCATTAATATAAGAGATCGAATTAAGAAGTTAGTTGGCTGCTGCGGCTGCGTGACCCGACATACTCCCCCCGTTGGAAGCCTGGGCTTCAACATTATCCTTAAGGGGTGGCAGACACAGCTTGTTTACTGCTCGCTTTGTCACTCCTGATGCTGTCTTCAGAACGGCAACTCGAGCAACCTCATCTCCACCGAAGAGAAGCTCGATCACTCTGGCGAGGGGCCACTTCATGGGAGGCAAGTTTTCGTCCTTAACCAGAACTAGGTCATCGACAACCAGGCCAGGTTTTGGGGTGCGCCACTTGGAGCGCTGTTGTAGCAATGTTAGGTATTCTTCCTTCCATCGGGACCAAAAGATCTGCTGCAAGTAAGCCACGCGTTGCCATCCATCCAAGCGATTGAAGTTAAGACTGGTCACATCCGGCTCGACGAAAGAAGAAGGCGGACCACCATTCAAAAAATGTGCTGGGGTTAATACATCCAGATCAGCTGGGTTTTCTGAAATCGAGACTAATGGTCGAGAATTAACAACCGCCGAAATGTGACACACCAGGGTCCGCAACTCCTCAAAGGCTAAAAACAGCAGTGCCAACAGCGCGGTAGAAATGATGCTTGACGATCTTCACAGCCGCTTCCCAAAGACCGCCAAAGTGTGGCGACCTAGGAGGAATGAAACACCAATCAATAGCCTCAGCTAGGCAAAAGTCCAATGTAGCTCTCTGATGATCACTGCTGAGGAAAAGACGCCTTAGCTCGAGCAGCTCATTGCGAGCTCCAACAAAGTTGGTTGCATTATCAGACCAAATCTGCCGCGGCCTTCTTCTAGTGCATATAAATCGGTTGAGGCCATGTAGAAACGATACCGTAGAGAGATCCTTGACCAACTCCAGATGAACAGCCTTCGTGGCGAAGCAAATGAAGACACAAACGTAGCATTTTACTGGAGGCTTGCTTCGCACCTCTGACTTGTAGAGCCCGCAAAAGTCAATGCCAGTGACTTCGAATGCATGAGATCCACCAAGTCGTTCCTTTGGAAGATCCGCCATTATATGCTCCACTACTCGAGGCTTCATTCGAAAGCATCTAATGCACTTGTTTACCGCCTTCATTACCGTCTTTCTCCCCCCAATAGGCCAATATTGGGATCGAATTATGCCAAGTAATGCCCGTGGCCCAGTGTGCAGATTGCGTTCATGAAAATGAGTAATAATGGCAATAGTGACCGAATGACTCCGTGGTAATATAA